CTTAGTTTTTGCCTCCTTACGCATTCGAGTAAACCAGGGGCTCGTTCTGGTCTTCCCATTATTTCTTTTCCCCTTGGGAATAATCCCTTCCTCTGCCTCCTTGCATTTTGTTGTTACGTATTCCATCATTTCTTTTACTGACCTTCCTACAAGTTTTCTGTCCCACTGAACCTCCTGCAGGAAGCTCCTCAAACCTATGTAGTCCCCTCTTTTATAGTCTGGTTTTTCCCATTCACCTCCTGTTACCCTCTCCACTCGTAACTCTACTATGTATTCAAAGCACAGAACCACGTGATCACTAGCTCCTAGGGGGCTCTCATATGTGATGTCCTCAATGTCTGAACTGCCCATGGTGAACACAAGGTACAGTCTTCCTGGTTCATTCCCCCCTCTCACTCTGGTAGTGTCCTTAACATGTTGGTGCATGAGGTTTTCCAGTACCACATCAATCATCTTGGCTCTCCATGTTTCGGGACTCCCATGTGGCACCAGGTTTTCCCAGTCAATATCCCTGTGGTTGAAATCGCCCATAACCAGCAACTTTGCTCTGCTCGAGTGAGCTCTTCTTGCCACCTCAGCAGGTGTGTCCACCATTGCTCTGTTGTAATCTTCATAGTCCTCTCTTGGCCTCCTGCAGTTCTGTGGTGGATTATACATCACTGCAATGACTTCCTTGTGCTCCCCAGACTGAATTGTACCTTCTATGTAGTCCCTTTCTCCAATCTCATCTATGCCTCCCATTTTCTCGAATTTCCATCGTTTTTTTACGAGCAGTGCAACCCCTCCTCCCCTCTCTGCCCCTTCTATCTTTCCTCATGATTTGATATCCTGGTGGGAAGATTGCATCTGTTATTGTCTCAGTAAGTTTTATTTCTGTAACTGCTATGAAGTCTTGGGACTTCTCATTGATTCTTTCAAGCCACTCATATTTATTTGCTAATCAATCTGCATTAGTGTACCAAACTTTCAACTTATTCTAAAACTGTGTTCCTGGGGAATATTGGGGTTTGGAGAGCAGGAGCCCTGGTGGGAGCATATGGGGGGTTGCAGTGGGGGTGGGGGCAGAGTTCTCATTGGAGGTTGCTGTAGGGGTAGGATTCATGGTTTACTGGGTGGGGACAGAGGGATCGGTATGTGATTGTTGGTTTAGATTTTTCAGTTGTCTTGGGGGTGTCATGGTCGGAGTCCTTCTGCAGGTGTTTCTGGGGAGGGTGTTTGCCCTTCCACCTGTCCGTGGGTTATTCTGCTTTTCTTTGTCATTTCCTCCCATTCCTCCTTTCGTTATTGCACTCATTCAGTATCATCCTTTCCTCCTGTGCTCTGTCTCGATCGAGGTACACACTCTGGAACTCTGGCTTGTCTCTCAGGTGTGCTTTCTCCTGCCTTGAAAATTACTTTGAGATACCGTTTCCTTCTTGTGAATCACCCAATTCTCTGAAAATTTGCCACCTAGGTCATGTCGCCCTCGCCTATCATCTTCATACCTTCAATCACTTTTTTTTCCTCCTGTTTTCTTTTATCATAGGTTTCCCCTTCAGCTTCCTGGAGCCCATAGACAAAAACTGATCTCTCCCTTTCTTCCTCCCACTGTGCCTCCCATTATGTCCTCTGAGGTGTTTTAGCTCCTTCCCTTGGAGCATTCCTTCCTTCAATCCCTTCCCTAGCTGTGGCCCCTATGCTCATTGGTTTGTCTTTCCTGCTCAGCTGTTTCTGCTCCCCACAAGTGTCTGGTAGAGTCCCTGCGTATGTCCCAGTTCCTTCAATGTCTTCCATCCTCTCATTTGGTCCTAGTGTGCTCCCTGTCTTTGTCTTGACCCCGTGTGGGTCTGACAGGACCTTTGCATAGAGTACAGTTTCCTTGCTCCCTCCAGCCCCTTTGTCTGTATCTGATGTAGATATTCCTGATGCTAGGTCTGTATTATTTTTTCTCTAATCTGTTTCAGATTTCTCAGCTCTTCTAAGCTCTGTATCTTGGCTTCTGCTACTGTGGCATGTTGCTCCCAATTTCTGCTCCCTGCAGCTACCCTCTCCTACATCTTCCTTCCAAGCTCATCTAGCTTCCTTCCCCAGTCTTCCTCCCTTTTTTTGAGCTCTACCTCCTAATTCTCCCTCCTAGATTCGTCCGTCAGACCCTTGGCTCTCGTCCTTGTTGTTGATTGCCGCATTGCACCACAGAACGAAGGGGGAGAGATCGTTAGGGGGAGGGGGAGAGATGGTTATGGGGTGTGGGAAGAGATGCTTAGGGAAGGGGGAGAGATGGTTAGGGGGTTAAGGGGAGGGGATAGATGATTAGGGGAAGGGGGAAAGATGGTTAGAGGGAGTGAGAGAGATGGTTAGGGGGAGGGGGAGAGATGGTTAGGGGGAGGGGGAGAGATGGTTAGGGGGAGGGGGAGAGATGGTTAGAGGAAGTGAGAGAGATGGTTAGGGGTAGGGGAGAGATGGTTAGGGGGAGGGGATAGATGGTTAGGGGGGAGAGATGGTTAGGGGGAGGGGAGAGGTGGTTAGGGGAGGGGGAGAGGTGGTTAGGGGGAGGGGGAGAGATGGTTAGAGGGAGGGGTAGGGGAGGGATAGTTGGTATGTGGATGAACAGTAACCGTTACACACACTCTGTCATGTAGGCTCACAGGTCCCTGTGTATGTGTACTGTTATTGCGGCCTAAAACTCTCTACCTCAGACTCAAATTTGTAGTCCCAGCTCTGTTTCCTAGTAATGCTACCTTCTCCATTTATTGCACTTTCTGGATTTAAGTACCATTTACTGCTAGTTATTATCCTATTCCTTGCTCACACTGAGAGAGGACCTGCATTACAGTTGGCGGGACCTAGATAATTTTACCCGACCCCCAGCACCACGTTTAGGCAAGTACATACGCCTGGCAGCATTGAACTAGTTGACTCCTGACTCCTGGTTCTACTTCAATTTCTTCTCTATCTGTATTTTGATCCTATTTACAATGCTTCAGTCACAGCACTAGATTTGCACTTCCCTGACTGCCTTGGGGTCACACCTTATCACGTATCATTTATGATGGCTGGCACTGATGCCTGGCCGCATGAGACCACGACTCAGTGTTGTACCGCTTGTTATTATCTAACACGCTGTTATTATCGAATACATTTGTTATTTATAATACACTGTTGCTATCCAATGCACTGGCTATTATCTAATGCACTACACTATCAAGATGTGAACTTTACTGATTAGTTGGACGCTTTCATTCTTTATTATGGACACCGTTGCTTCGAGAAAAACGTCAACGACCCAATATAATTGCTAGTTATTTTCCCTTTCTTTTCCCTCACTTTATGCACTACATCATCTCTCCTCGACTTGCACTTAGCTCGCTGGCTGGGGTCACACTTATTATTTTGAATTTGCAGTAGTATTGGTTTATGGTAACACTGCCTACGCCCGGCTCTAGGCCTTCTCTCTCCACTTCTCGCACTGATTTCACTTTCAAAATTATTTATGTAATTTGTAGCCCTCGCCTCCCTTGTATTTCACTTCCCGACTTGTTCACTGAGCTCTAACACTTTAAATGATCCCTTCAATATCCTTGGATAGGCCAGAAAGAACCCAAAACCCGTGAACACTGAGTATGCTGTTACTCCCGCCGACAACCAGTGTGTGTGTGTGTGTGTGTGTGTGTGGTGTGTGTGTGTGTGTGTGTGTGTGTGTGTGTGTGTGTGTGTGTGTGTGTGTACTCACCGATATTTGGTTGCAGGGTCGAGTTTCAGCTCCTGGCTCTGCTTCTTCTCTGATCGATAATAGGATCATTCTCTCCTGGCTCGAGAGCATTATGATACCTCTTCATTAAGCTATGTATGAATCCTGCCTCTACCACTTCATTCCGGGGTTGTTTCATTTACGTACCAGAGACTGAAGAAATGCTTTTTAAAACGCCCCTGGATATCTGCTTTATCTTCTGAGTCTTCAGTTTTTTGTTTCACATCCCTCGTACAAACTTTTATTTTCCCACAATTCCTCTCGTATTTTGTACGTTTGGGATCATATCCCCATCTTGTCCCCCCAGCGAAACAATCTCTTCCTTACCTTGATGGTCTCGTTTCAAATCTGTAAATGTTTTCAGTTTTTTTTTAAAAACGCTTTACCGTTGTGGGTTGTGCTAGGCTGCTTACTCCGTATGGGCTGACGTAACGGGGTAAGTGCGTGAATGCTTTATTTAGATGGGTGAAAGCTTTCAAATTTTCCACCCGTTCATTTAATAAGCAGTATTGGTTGATATGTGCTCGGGGGGTATGCCAGTACAAACTCACTCCAGAGTCTTTCCCTTTAGGGGGAGGTTGTACCTTTGCCTCCCCACCGGTACTCCGTCTGCGATCTATGACTCTGATTCCACAACTTTATAAATATGCAGTTGCAGCCTTTCCTGATTCATTTGTAGCTTTACCTCGTCCACATCTTTTATTCTCCTCATTAGTTTCACATCATCTGCGAACACAGATTCCTTTCATCATATCATTCTTATATACTAGAAATAGCATCGGATCAGAACCGATTGTGTAACCCCTCTCGTCACATGCACCTTTTCTAACACCTCTTCACGGATCATCCTTCCTGTCAGGTATGCTTTGATACAGTGTAGTGCTTTCACTGTTCTTCGTGCCTGCCCCTCAGACTTTTACACCTGTCTCTTGAGTGGTATTGTATCAGAATCAATCCTCCTACAGTGTGTGTTTTGAATGTGTGTCTGTGAAGAGGAAGAGAGAGAGAGAGAGAGAGAGAGAGAGAGAGAGAGAGAGAGAGAGAGAGAGAGAGAGAGAGAGAGAGAGAGAGAGAGAGAGAGAGAGAGAGAGAGAGAGCGAGGAGAGAGAGAGAGAGAGAGAGAGAGAGAGAGAGAGAGAGAGTTGGTCAAGAGTGAATACTGGTTCTCTACCTGGAGGTGTTGTCACTCTCGTTATCAGTGCTTATTAAGTACGTATGCTGGTGTTCTCCCTGGAGGTATTCTCACACGTGTTTTCTATTTTCTCTCTGTCAGAAGGCGACACCGTAGCAGCGGTGCAGCGTCGGGGCCACAGTTTGGCTGCTGCAGCCACTGCGGCCACCACTACCACCCTCCTGGCCACCCTCTGCATAACCTGCCTCTACTTTGCCCACTACCTGCCAGTCAGATGATCGCCTGAATGCTCAAACCATATATTTAATATGTAAACAGAAACTGTGTTAAAGGGTTTGCTACCAGAATTTATTTTAATGTCGTGTTAAATTTTTTTGATAAAATGTGTACTGAGAATTGCAGCGTTGAGAAAATCCTGAGAATGTACGAAATTCTGCAACTCTCGGTTGATCACATCATCCACAAATGGGTAAAAAATGACGAATGTATTCACCACTAACTTTCAAATTGTGCACGAATCTAAACGAAGATTTGGTTTGCTCTGGATCATTATTAAGAGTTGGTTTTGGTTTAGTCCAAACAGGAACGAAGTCTAGTTTATCTCCGTTTTGTTTTTTTTTAGCTGTGAATTGTTCCAACCACAGTAATATGATTTATATGTTTCTTGAAATACATGATTTATGAAACGTTCTACAACACATGCTGTAAAACTACAAAAACAAGTTTACTGTAGTTGCCCTGAACACTGGGTACTAGATTTACAATAATTACTAAGGCTTGTGAGCAAGTAAATCCCATGTGGACGGAAAATCAAACACCTCCTAGAAAGCGTCTGCATATTCCGGCCTTAATCAGAGACCGTCTACAGTAAACAAACAAGGAGTATAAGGAGGTTCATATGCTGATCCTCTCTTCTCTCTGTTTAATTGTGCTTTTGTGTGGATATCTACCCGTTTACTGATCAGTGTTTATATTATACCATAACACTAAACTTTATACTAATGGCAACAGTTACTGACAAATTCGATAGGAATATGAACTCCTCATCATACCACATACCTGGGATAATTACCTGAATTATAGTGTGTTTGATAGCTTCTGAGCTATCTCTGTATGAAGATGTTATTGACATGCAACCTATCCTCCTAAGCAAACAATGAGAGTTTTCTATGGCTCATAATACTATCACTATCGTGTTAACGCCGAAAGTAAATTTGTGCTTCCTCATTCTTCTCGGTGGTTTCCTGTTTTTGTTTTGCGAACATCAAAATATCAGGTCATCTTTATAATGAAAATCACTATATCACCGTTTCTAAGACAGTGAAATGGATGACTGCTCACGAACCCTAAACAGTGATTGCCTAATTGTGTAGCGGAGAATGTGCTCGGCGGGTCTTCGTTTATTGCTCACGTTTCAAAAAAATTTAATTGACTATTTAAAATATTAAATTTATTGCATTTGTGGTATATATTGTAATCTATTGATTTTTCTATTAATGGGCGAGACTCTTATCCTTCTAAACCTAATCTTCCGATTTTATACAACGTAAATTGAGAAACTGACTGAGAACAGTACGTTATAAATCGATTTTAAATTTAGGAGAATAGGTTGCAAAATATAGTTTTACTCTACGCTTTATTGCATTTTTTAGTATTAGAGTATGTTGTTATTGGTTAAATTAGGTTAACCTAACCTATCCTAACCTAACCTATCCTAATCTAGCCAGACCTAGCCTTTATAACGTATGTGAAGAAACTGGATTCTGCTTTCATAGTGAAAACAATAATGTGGGTTATAGGAGGGCAGGTTGTAACATATATTGTATTAGATGGTGGTACAAGATTATATTCATCTGTGTGTCTCTGGGAATATATATATACACTGAATCTCTAAGGTATTCTGTATTTTAGGGATTAATGCGCCCATGACTGCAACTTTAATTACGCTTTGTGTAGTCGACAGGCGTTAGACCCAATAATGGCCCAACACACGGGCAAAAAACAAACACATCCTATCTTCCCCCCATAAGAAGTAGCCAACACAAAAATCATAATAACGTTTTATTTGTCGTTAATCATTACAAACTATTAATATTAGATACTTAAACTAGGACACATAAATTTAGAGCTTCAGCGAAAATCTACAATAATACAACACTTATTTTTGTAATTGTCTGTGTCTACAAGAGACCTAAAATAATTGCTAAATTTATTGGCACTTGACAGAAAAGAAAGTACGGACAAACAAGTGCCTCAGTAACAGTGTCACATGATATGACGTCTTCATCTGCAATGATTAGAAATGACACGAGTATGCGGAAGTATGCTTTATCACCGGGAACCGAAGAACATAATCGTCACAAGTGCGAAACGTTGCCACAATAAAATGTCACATTAGTTGCACTTGTGTCCTTTTACTTTACATGTTGTCGGTAATTCTACCAACTTTATTATAACATAATCGTCAAAATCCGAACACAAAAATTTAAAGCAACATCTGATTTTCAATCAAAACTTGCTGATCTGTCTTGAGGTGTTTTGACAACTTTATTGTTGTTCCGAGCACAGATTATTTCACTAATGGAGATTACCATAGATGCGAGTACAAATTATTTCACCACTGGAGATTACCATTGATTTGACTGTAAATTATTTCACTGAAACTAAATTGACTTCAGTTAATGCGTTATATGTAACCAGTATAAGACTGATTCCCAAGTGTGTCTCCTGATATAATTACCTAATTAATGCATTAGTCTTCAATTATGAAGATCTCTATTACTGCTGTAGTTATACGCATGACACAACGGTCCTCTCTCTGCTTCTTCAAGTATCCTGATTTATCCTTACACCTGATTATTATTATTATATATATATATATATATTATATATATATATATATATATATATATATATATATATATATATATATATATATATATATATATATATATATATATTATTTTGCCCACGAACGAGTGGTATTGCTCAATAACAGCACTGCGACTAAGCAAGGACTCGAACCCATGCTGCTTTGGCCTGCTTCGTTCTAGTCCCTGTTTGGTATACTAGTACAACGAGTAGTATTTTATATAATTGTGCCCACGAACGAGTGGTATTGATCAATAACGACATTGCGACTAGTCCTTGGCTAATTCGTGGGCACAATAATATCAAATACCACTCGTTGTACTAGTACACCAAACAGGGACAAGAATGAAATTTGCCTAGAGTCATCCACACCATCGTATGTCCTTAGGTAGTGAGTACGACATCCAGTTCCGCTGGATGTGCTGCTCTTAAGGATTGTATGGTCCAGTGGATTAAGGCGTCATGAGTTTTCACCCACCATGAGGCAGGCCAAAGCAGCATGGGTTCGAGTCCTTGGCTAGTCGCAGTGTTGCTATTGATATATATATATATATATATATATATATATATATATATATATATATATATATATATATATATATATATATATATATAACACTGGTCTGCAAGATTTTTTATTGACGCTATGGTATATTTTTCGGTATATATATGGAAACTATTGGTTAATTGTGTTTTTTATTCATCTCTATCACCTAAGGTTGTCAAGTTATACGGAAACGTTACTTTTCTCTTTTCGTATAATATAAGTTAATGAGAAAGTGGTATATTACCAATTAAAATGCTTGCCTTATCATGATTTAAATGTTAAATCTAATATATTTTCTTTATTTTCGGATTATTAATATGTCTAGAGGCTGTATAAATTCGCGAAGCATATTTTATGTCTGCGGGCAATTCATCCCTTCAGATTCCCGGAGCAACATTACTCCTTTAATGAAGCGCTGCTACTGCGCTTGTTTTGGCTGCAAACTTGGAGACCAGGACAAACCATCTGTACCACATAAAGCTTGCAAGAGTGCATCAGTAAGCTCCAAATGTGGTCAGTTGAGTACCAATGGTATGGCAGGAGCAGATGAACCACCATGATGGCTGCTACTTTTCTATGACTAAAGTAGCTAGATTCAACAAGAAGAGTAAAGATAGCATAATATACCCAAATATTGCATCACCAATAAGGCCTGTTCCACACTGAAGATATTCCTGTACCTGTGTCACCTGAGACATGGCAAATATCATCAGAGTCTGATACCAGTGATTCTAAAGATGGAAGTAGACTATGAACCACCAACAAATGACGATCACAAACCCTTCAACCAAGTTGAGCTCAATGACTCGGTGAGAGACCTTAACATTCCAAAAGAAAGTGCACAGTTACTTGGCTCTAGACTGAAGGAACATAAGCTTCTAGCTCCTGGAACAACATTCGCTTGGTACCGTCATCGTGAAGCGGAATTCACTCAGTTCTTTGACAAAGAGTAATCTTTAGTTTTCTATTCAAATATTTCTGGCCTTATTGAACACATGGGGATGTCATACAAAGTAGATGGATGGAGACTCTCTACTGATTTTTCTAAAACAAGTTTAAATGCATCTGTGCCAATTTGCCATAGTGTCCAAATGTCAGAAATTTAAGCAAATATGAAGACACTAATATCTGCAATAAAGTACCAGAATTACAATTTTCTCGTTTGTGGTGACTAAAAAGTTATTGCTCTCCTACAAGGTCTTCAAGGCGGATACACCAAGTATCCCTGTTTTCTGTGTCTTTGGGATAGTAGGGCAGACAGTCTGCACTATGAACAAAAAGACTGGCCACCAAGAACCAGCTTCTTACCGGAAATCACAAAGTGAAAACTGTGCCCAAGATGAGCCCAAGAAAATTCCACATCAAATTATGCAAATTATTGCAGTAAAATCAGCTTGTTTAGTGAGTCGCTGAGGGTCATCTAAATTTCTGAAAATATTTCATGTAAATAAATATGTATTCGAATATCATAAATATCCTCTATAAACATTTTGAAGAAAAGTCATAAGAAAGCGAGAAATTTGAATAAGCATTTGCATTACCACATGAAGAATATTAGAATAAGCAATCTCTTCAAGGGAGGCTTCCTGACGTTGGTAAGGGGCTCCTGATCCAAGGAAATGGACTTGACTACCATATTCATCGACCGACCCTGATTACCATCCACTCCCCAAGCTCGCTTTAAAACCTTTTGGTTCAGCACTCCTCCCCATTAATTGCTCTAATAAAAGGGCAATGAATGAGAGCAGTTCTCTTATTAATAATACTACAGCCGTAACATTATTTTTCATAATAGCAAAATAGGTTTATAAACTTATGATTATATAATAGTACGAAATGCTGAATTAAAACTTATCATCAGTTAATACGTAATTAACTTAAAACAATTAACTTTAAACTCTGGTCAGCGGGAATTCTTCAATAGTCACTTAATTAAGATGGTTCACTTGGAGTTTACCTGTCATTTCTAGATCAAGATTTATCACGCACCGTAGAGACACCTTTGGTCTCTTCTCGTTCATGTTACGCCTCTGAGATTCCTCTGGTTTCTAGGCGTTTATGTCTCGCCTCAGAGATTTCTCTGGTGTGTGGGCGCTCCAGCCGGAGTGACATATGGTCTAGCACCAGTACACTTGCTCGACGTCCTTCTTAACAATGGATAGCGAGTCTTGCGTATTTTTCATAATACAAAAATATTTCAAATATCAGATAGTGAAGACATTGAAGAACATAACTCATAGGAAATCAAAGGAGCCATTTATTTCTCACTACACACAACCTGCTCTGAAAAATAAACAGGGATTTTCAATAGCATTTTTGGAAGGGCAATATATAAATTTGAGTCATTCAGTTAATAAAAGAGTTTGCAACATTCTATTTATATTACATATACATATGTGTATTTGATATATGATGTATTTTGTTTTGAGTTTTAATTCTGGTATAAAGTGTTAACTGATCTAATAACAGAAAAAGTATTCTATTTGATTTACTCGGACTCGACGGTGCACACATGTATGTTTCAGTTACATAACCTGAGAGAAGTTTTAATTAGAATGATTTATAATCCCGTGAGCACCATAAATTTTTCTAAGTTCTGACAGATACTAAAAAATATATATTTAAATCGGAAAATTAAGAGGACATTTTAGACTATCCCAGATCAAACATGTCAAGATAACAGGAAACATCTCAAGTGATAATAGTCCATTAATGATTTAAACGTCTACTTTAATTGCCTTACCAATGTGTGGTTTTGAATTTTGTTATCGACGATATTGTGAAATTTTGTTTTAAATTTTAAGTTATTGAAACTACAATAATATGGCAGCAGCGCCAGACACTCTTAAATCAGAGTAAATCTTGAGGCTATATTTCCATATAACTAAATTTAAGATAATACTTATGCCCAAAGAATATTAAATCATAAATAATCAAATGGACATACAAATCTTTCTTCTAGGAAACATTATCCCTTAGTAATGGTTGGAGAAAGGTGGGTAATGAAGGTTTTAAGTACAAAAGGCCTGAGTCAGTAAGTTAGATCGTACTGAACAGACTTGAATGATCTTCATGGTCTGACTTACTGGTTCGTCGGACTTGATTCTAGAAGGTGAAAAGTAAGACATAAAAACTAAAGAAGGGGAGATAAAGTGTTGCAATTCGAAGTATCATTTGTAATGTTGTCTGTCTGAAGAAGAAATGTTGATGTTTACCTTTTTGGAGTCACCCTACGTCATATATATAAATATATATATATATATATATATATTATATATATATTTTTATAATATATATATATATATATATATAATATATATATATATTATTAAAATAAGAAAGCATAGGGCAATGGAAGAGTGTGGGTTTATAGAGAAAAAACTAATAGTTTCAGGTAGGGTAATATAGTAAAACCTAAGAACAAAAGAAGGCCTGGTAGGTCATACAAAATTCGCTGCAAAAGCTGCAACTTCGTCTGCAGAGGCAAGTCAGGGCTTCGACTTATTTTGAGGAACAAAATAAATTACGACAAAACTGAAACTTGACACAATGAAAGTTGCGCACGGGAGAGAAAAGTATTAAAGCTTCCCTGAACGAGACAAAACCAAATTTCAACACTTGGAAAGGGAAATGGATTCCTGACATTATTTCCAACGTCGCAACGAAGGAATGCATCCCATCACCAGATTTAATATTTAAAAAAAATGATCACTCACCACTACAACCATAATAACGAGGAGCATTGAATCATGCCTGCTGGCTTGCACTTTCCTAAGAACCTACCATAAATGATTATTACGTTTGTTGAAGCTAATTCCTTTGGTTGCTTTAAGAACAGGATTGAAAAATATGGAAGTGACAAGGTTTAAAGATAAAACAAACCTGTCAGGTATAGGTCAACATGTCGTCTTCTCTTCTTACCAGGAGTCCAGCTCTTCTGCTCATCGTTAGGTAAAGTTCAATGTCTCCGCAACCATCAATATACATTTTACAAATAGATTTCTATTTGCTTAAACCACGAGTCTTCCCTTCTTCTGTACTGCTGAAGATCTCAGTCAGAGATCAATCTAATCTGTTTCTACGCAGCGATTCAGTCACAATGTGAGTTCCATCAGTGCATCGATAAATGTCGATTCATCGATATGTGTGTGTGTATGTATGCAGGTATGTATGTGTGTGTGTGTGTGTGTGTGTGTGTGTGTGTGTGTGTGTGTGTGTGTGTACTCACCTAGTTCTACTCACCTAGTTGTGGTTGCGGGAATAGAGTCACAGCTCCAGGACCCGCATCTTCACCTGGCCGCTACCCGGTCATTCTTCCCGCTCCGTGAGCTTTATCATACCTCTTCTTAAAGCTATGTATGGATCCTGCCTCCACTACATCACTACCCAGGCTATTCTATTTCCTGACAACTCTGTGACTGAAGAAGTACTT